CCCCCCCCCCCCCCCCCCCCCCCCCCCTCCTTCCCTCTCCCTCCACCCCTCCCCCCCCCTGCCCCCTGCCCCCCAACCCTCCCCCCTCCCCCCTCCTCTTCGTTCTGCCACTATTTCATCATGCAGAGTGCACTTGTCCATGTGTATTCTTGATTTTGGGTGCATTTATTCCAAAATCACGTTTTACCTGTTGGGACACACAACCTAGAAACACCACACCTAAACTAAGCTGACATGCAATTCTCCTTGGCCTGGTTCAGCTCATTCTCATCGGACTCCTCGTCATCCATGAAATCGTCCTGACATAGAGATGAAAAACGACTACTGCTTCATTCTTCAGGCTAACACTCCGGTCAACTGCAACTGAATTTACCTTAATTAAATTACTGAACCCGATAGTCATTCCAGACACAGAGAAACCCAAATGCTGGGCCTGCGAATCAGGGGTTCGGGCCCCAGACGTAGTCGTAGCAGGCGCGTCCTTGCCGGGCGCCTTCTTGGGTGTCCCGGGCTTCTCCTCTGGGACCACGGCCAGGGTCTGCGGGCCACCTGTAGGCTTTGGGTTTTGGTTCAGGGTTTAGGGTTTCGGGTTTTGGGTTTTAATTTAAAGGTTTAGGGTTTAGGGTTTAAGTTTAGGGTCTAGGGTCTAGGGTTTAGGGTTTAGGGTTTAGGGTTTGGGGTTTGGAGTTTGGGGTTTAGGGTTTAGGGTTTAGGGTTTTGGGTTTAGGGTTTAGGGTTTAAGGTTTAGGGTTTAAGGTTTAGGGTTTAGGGTTTAGGGTTTAGGGAGGGTTGAGGGTTTGGGTTTAGGGTTTAGGGTTTAGGGTTTAGGGTTTAGGGTTTAGGGTTTAGGGTTTAGGGTTTAGGGTTTAGGGTTTAGGGTTTAGGGTTTAGGGTTTAAAGTATAGGGTTAATAGTCAAGGAGTTTCGGCTTTGTGCAACAATCCGGAGTGCACTGAGAGAACCATGAGATTTTCTTTCTTTTTTCCTACCCAAAGGGTTTAAGTTTAGGGTTCAGGGTCGAGGGTTGACATTGAGTCTTGAGGGTTGAGGGTTTGAAGTTGAGGGTTTAGGGTTTAGCTTTGGGGGGCGTTATATTTGATTGAAATCATTGAATCTCTGAAAGGACAAGGCCCTGTTGTTTCACCTACTCACAGGAATATCATATAATGAAGCCACCCTCCCCTCCTCCCCCCCCCCCCCCCCCCCCCCCCCCCCCCCCCCCCCCCCCCCCCCCTTCCCCCCCCCCCGCCCCACCCGTGCCTCGCATGCCTGGCAGGCGTGTGGAGCCAGCTGTCACAAGGGCACTCCCGTCGGTCGGTGGTGCTTCGCCATCCGTTTCGGTAGGTGTCCTTCCCGGTGGCTTTGCTGCATTCGCCGCTCTGTAGTCCTCCGCCACGGTGGAGCAGTACTCGGGCTTTGCGTCCTCGCCAGTCCCTGTGCTGTTGTACACACAGTCTCCGTGCTTCGTTGTGTACAGCACGAATTTGCCACCCTGCAGCTCCATCGACTCTGACAGGCTCGGGTGCTCGAGGAAGGTCGAATCTTTGGTCACCCTGAGCTTGTACCCGGTGGCAGGGATGGCGGGCGCCTGGTCGGGAGCCTGCAAGCGTATCATACACCCTTAATTAACACCTTAAACCCTAAAACCCTAAATTACTAAACCCTAAACCCTAAACCCCTAAACCCTAAAAACACACCCAACCCCGTCTCACTCCTCCTGCGCTGCCGCATTCCCGTCACTGCCTGCTTGGGACTGGAGCGACTTCTCATAGGCAATGACAAACTCAGGCATTTGGGCCGGCTCCCCGTCCTTGCCCTTGGAGGGCAGTTGGTGCGCATAGACGCCGTAGTCGTCCAGTTCGGTCATGTTTTTTTTTTGGCATGCGCGCAGATGCGCGGCTGCCCAGCGGTGCTGATCCTGAAAGCTCCACGCCGTCCGTGCTGCATTGCAGCCGCGACGTCTGTATTCTCCGATCGCTGCATCGATCGCTTTCTGCTCATTGCCCCTGAGCGCAGACATATTGTCCAAATCAGAAATTTCCAGGCACTGAAAGTTAAGGTTACAGTGTCCGTGCTGCAGACCAACATCACAGTTACTGACACTGTTCTACACTTGATCATCCTGGCGGCCCCGGTGGTGGGTCGGATGGCAACCAGCCGAAGTTGAACAGGAGCGCGCTTGCCAGCATGGGCCGCGTCACCCGATTTTGGGCCCCGGGCCCAAGGTACGTTGGATCGCTGTTCTCCAGCCACTGTTGCCAATAACACGACTTAGCAGCGCGGGGCAACGTACGTCATACAGTTACGTACAGTTGCGATTACTACAGAACGATTTCCACCGTGTCACAAAAGATGAAAATTATCTTCCCCCCGGTAAATGGTTTATTATTTCCACTACCGCTATATTAACATGTTGTTAGCATGCTACGTTACATTGACATTGAATACAGAAACTTATACATTTCCTGTACTTACCTGTACCGTAGTACATCGCAACGTTAGATTTAGAGATGAACCAAAGCTCTACGCAGAACTGCATAGTGCCAAGTTACAGGCATGCTGTTGATGTCCTTCTGCTTAAAGGTGGTGCAACTCACCCGCCGGCCTGATGCGGAACCCTGCTTATTGCCGGTCTTCTGCGACGGTGGCGGCTTCAACTTAGTCGCGCCAGCCTTCGATGGCTGCAAGCCAACCTGGACACCTCCGGGCCACCTGGGCGTGCGCAGATTGCTGAACTGACATAGCTACTGAAGTGTCACGCGCAGCAGCAACTACACTGAGAAGCCAGCTGTGGCAGCAAGTTCGTGTCGGTCATGCGGTGGGTGGGGCGGAAATGGGTCGCATCAGCAGCATCCTCTGATTTCACCAGCGCTGCCGGGGGGGGTGGTGCTGGGGGCTTAGGCTCAGCAGGAGCTGCTTCCTCAGCAGCGCGCTTCAGAAAGCGAGACATCAGGCGGGCCCCACCAGGGCTCGCGAACGCAGAACTAACTAGCTGCTTCGAATTTGATCACTGTTGGAAAAACGAGCCCATGAACCACAATTGATTGATGCATGGTCCAAGCAAACATCTGTGACTGTCTGGCTGCTGCGCACCAACTGCGTCAGTCTGCGCATGTCATGAGCGTACTGAGCTGCCGAAATCCGCTCTGTCAATGTTTTGAGACTCAACTTCAAACTTGGCTCCATCCGGGCTCCGCCACTGTCTAGCCAGCGCCGCAGCATCCCTCCCCATGCATCTGATGGGTCTCACGCAGCGGCTATGTAAACTCTATGGGTGTCGGTATTGTAACGTGTGAAATCAATACGAACAATGGCTGGCATCCGGACAGTGAAACAGTGTTACAGGAACCTGCTGGCATTGGCTCTCTGCTATGCCAACGGTCTGACCGCTGACCGTCAACGCCACGCTCAGGGTCTGTGTGCCGGCGCTTCACGACAGTAAAACTAAGGAAAGAATGAACACGAGAGAATGGGTAGCATCTCAGCTATCGTCGTGAATTTTAAAAAAAATACGGTTCGTTGCTGATCGCGCTCCGGCACTCCTACCGGCTGACCCAGCTGCTACCAGCTTCAGATGTCAAGGGCCTTAGGGTTTAGGGCTTAGGGTTTAGGATTTAGGGTTTAGGGTTTAGGGTTTAGGGTTTAGGGTTTAGGGTTTAGGGTTTAGGCGGTTTAGGGTTTAGGGTTTAGGGTTTAGGGCCGAACTGAAGCAAACCTAGAGTATAGGTGTAACAAGCCAGGCTGCTGTTAAAGTTAAAGTTGTCAGGACAATCGCCGGTAGCAGCAAAGTGCTACTAGTTCGACCACTCCTACTGTGCTTAGTGCCATGGCATTCCCTGCCACCAGAGCTGCTCGCTTGGTGTCTTTGACACCAAGCATCGGCGCCCCCATAGCCATAGCCACGGCCGGGGTAACCGGGAATCCAAGGCTGGCCAATTTCTCCCGACCTGTCAGCCAGCGGCGGTAGTGTGGGGACCACAGCAGCCCACTGCTTCGCCGGTATGTTGGCAAGCGTCCGGACACAGCGGACCAGGTCTTGTATGCGGCGCTATCCCCAAGATACACCCAGAGATTGCTATCATCCTCTGGCCGGCGGGTTCCGCCGTGCATCTTGACATAGTCCCGGCAGAGGGCTCTCAGTGTCCGGGTCTCCCGGTCGTTGAGAAGGTAGGACAGATCCTCGTCAGCTGCTGATGTAGTTGATGATGCTCGCTTCCGCTTCTGACCCTGAGCCCATTGTTTTCTTCAGATTAAACAGGGTATAGTATTGTGAATTCCAGCAACGGGGTTATGGTTAGGGGGGTTTAAAGGGGTTTAGGGTTGAATGTGAATCGGTTGAGACTAGCCAGAGGCTCGTTCTAGTCTGCTGGCTCGTAACAACCAGGCAGGTTGGTGTACGTTACGTTGTGGTGCTGCGAATCGCTGCGAAAATTCACAACCCACTAGACAGACAGTAAGTCAAGCGACGCTGAGGTGGGCACGGCGCGTCCACTCCAGATCAGCAGCCTCCTGCTGAACATCGCCCGCTTCTGCGACCACGTAGTCAGAAGGCTGGGTGCAGATGTGCTTCCGCAGGCACCGGGAAACACGCTGATAGTATTCTTCGGGGTTCAGCACTTCCTCTACTTTCCATGTGTGGGTCAGGATCAGGTAAACCCGCTGGCGCCTTACCCCAGCATGGCCTTGATCGGATATGTCACAGGAAAGGCGCCGGATCCTGTAGAAACGGCCATAGAGCAGTTGGATCATGTCCAGGTTGAGCTCCTGACTTGGTTGGGTTTCAGCTACCTGAATCGGCAACCAGACTTAAACGGGTGTCTTCTGAAAGGGCTTAGGCTATTAGGGCTTTAAAGGGTCTATACTATGTTTTTTTTAGTCTTCAACTGTTTTTTTGTGGAACTTTCGTGGGGGGGGGGGGGGACTATCCATCCTTAACAGAAGTAAAGGAGCACACAAACTCCATCATTTGTTTAGCCTAGTGTCCGGTGTGTTCTCTATGATGATCATTGGTGTGGCTTTGTGGACATGTCGCTTAGCGTGCGCGATGAACACCGCTGCTGTGGGCCCTTCCTCGTAACGTCGTAGCCCAGCCTGTGAGTTGTCAGGGCATGGAAGCCCCGCTACTTCCAGATCCACTGAGTTCTGCAGCCTGCCATGCAGCTCACAGTGAGTGTTGTGAAGGCAACACCACTGTCGGAAAGTCAGCTGCCCGTCGTCCATAATCTGCAACTTCTGTAAGAATGAATCAACCGTGCTGAGTCGATTTGTTTCGACAGCATCCAGCAGGTCCTCAGGCGAAGTCGGTGGACTGCCCGCAGTTTGAATGTGTATTGTTGGCATGTCTACACGTTGCGGTGTCCTAAATAAGATTCTACGGAGTGCATCGCGCTGTCCTCGAACATGCAGGGGTTGTGGTCTTTGAGTGTCACCTTCCTCAACCAGTCGATGTGGTCCACGATAAGCTGTTGGCATCTCTTGTCTTTCTCCTGGGCTGTAATCAGGCACAGAAAGTTAGTAGGAATGTTCGGGCCAATCAGTCGTCAACACTACACCCTAAACCCTAAACCCTAAACCCTATAAACCCGTTAAGCCCTTTAAGCCCTTTTAAAAACCTTTAAACCCTTTAAACCTTTAAACCCCTTTAAACCCTTTAAACCCAAACCCTAAACCCATTGGCTTGGTGTACAACTGCTAATGTACTGCCTAGCTGCGTGCACCGAAGCCAGATGAAAGTCCACACGACGATGCAGAACACCACTGTCGTTGACTGTCTTCTCAAAATTCCAAGAGCAATCTCTGAGGTTAAGGCTCCCGAACAGCTCGAGCTGGTCCAGCGTGTGCGGCAGAGCATCGAGGCTGGAGCATAGCGGTCAGTCAACTGACGTTAGTTAGTTTTTTTTCAGAGACAGTAGACGAACCCAGTGCACGGTCAGAACATGACTGCGTCAACTGACTGCTGTACCCGGCCTCCAGCGTATCATTGTCTATGTGTTTGCAAAGGACCCACCACGCGATCTGGAAGCAGCGTGCCGCCCGGGTGAGCATGTTGCTGTCATGAGGCAGCTCCTGTTCCACCGCAAATACAATGTCACTTGTAATTGTACGGGAATGGAAACGTGGAGGGTAGATGTTCAAAACCACCCTCAAGCCTTTCAACCCTAAACTGTAAACACTAAGCCCTAAAACCCTCAACCCTAAACCCGAAACTGCCCTAGGCCAGGGCCTCAGATCAGTCCTATTCAAGCCCCCCCCCCCCCCCCCCTCCCCCCCCCCCTTGGCTGGTACTGACGAAGACAGTCAAACAATCGGCCTCCAAGGGGTCGGAACAGCAGCTGCTGCTCTGTGTCCACGCGCCTGCCTGTGAGTCAGTCTCCGAATTCATGGTCACCGAACAATCACCGCCACTGGCAGCCATCAGCAGCACCGACAGCCAGGTAACGTAGCAGGTCAGGTGCAACCAGACTACTTACTTGCTAGGACCTGGACATGTTCAAAACAACACCAACCCAATCAGATTGTCACACAGGCTAGGACGCTAGGCTGGAGCCATCATCATCAGGTTGAGCGTGCACACAGCTCGACCTCGCCTACTGTATCTTCCTTGATCTGATCGATATGTAAGCCTTAAACTGTTTAAACCCGAAACCCGAGACCCTAAACACACATATTCAACCCTAAACCCTTTAGTACGAAAGCTTATATAATAGAAACCCTATTTTATTATCATCTAAAATAACCTTAAACCTTTGTATCACTAAATCCTACACAATATCTATAATAAACCCCAAACCAATGACATTCCGGCGCAGCTGTTCCGGTGCTGCAGTGTTTGAAACTGTGCACAGGCATGCTGGGACTGAGAGCATGACGACAGGAGCAGCATAGGAGCCGCGCTGTAGCTCCGGTGAGTAGAGATAGATCAGCTCGGTCGGCTTCCGGCCAACGGAGCTGCCATCTAGGTATGCCTGAGCATGGCGTAGCACACCCAACACATATGTTTTTGTATATTTTCGTCGTAGAAGCAATGCAAGCAGGATCGGTTAGATATGCGCTGTAGCTGCTTAGGAGCGGACCACTATCACCTTGCTGTCTTTCAGCGTTGTGCGGGCTTTCCAAGCACAGGCGAACTTAGTCAGTCTCTCACACCACTCGCGCACACACACACACACACACACAGACAGTGACTCGACATCCATTGCACGACCGCGCTGTTCAACGACATCAACTCAGATGTGTGTGTGTGTGTGTGTGTGTGTGTGTGTCACAAGCACTGGGGCGATGACGCTGAGGAGCCAAGAAAAGCGAGTGACGCTCATCTTCTGAAGGTTGTAGCTGTTCAGTAGCTCACGGAGTTGTAGGCCTGGGTCTTCCTGGGACAAGGAAGGCTCGGGGCGACGGACTGTGTTGTTCTTGTATTTTTTCGTAGGAAAAATATTGCTTGTAGATTCGACCTACAAACAGTAACATTTTTTCAAGACTTCGCCGGGCAGCGTTCACATGCAGCAGATGCATGGCTGCTTTGCATGATCTGTTCACAACAGCCAGATGTTCAACTGCAGAATTCTTGAAGTTAGAGAATTTCGCAGGCCCCATATCTTCTTCAGAGAGCTCAATGGCGTGGGCGTCTAAAGCCTGTGCAATCTGAGCCATGATGGAGAGCGCCATGGGGCACAGCAGCCTTCTGCATTCCAGATTCACCTCTGGCTGCAACCCAAAGGAAACGATATCACAGACATGGGGCTTCTCGGGCACCGATGTCAAACCTAGCTGGTCAAGAGGCACCAGACTCTTAGCCGCCCAATCCATCTGGCACGTGTTAAAAGCATCTCGAGTCCACACAGCTCCTTGTGGCACAGACCCATCACTGCAAAGAGTCACCAGCTGCATGCTGTCCGCCCGACTACCCGCTGGTCGCAGCCACAGTTGAACTGGAGAGCATTTGGCCAGCAACGCAGCCACCCATCTACGGAACAAGTCCACCGCCAAGGCCCGATCCTGCTTCTGGCGTTTGGGGTTGTAGAAGCCCCACAAGACCATGGACATCGCAACGCTGGTAGGAACTGAAACCTTAGCCACGTACACATTCTCACCAGATTGATCGCCTGCTGCGTCAGACAAAGTCTTGGACGCAAACTTCTGCTTGAAGAATGCGCCAGGCAGTGGCTCCCCTGGCCACAGATTCGCATGCATATCAGGCAGCCGGCTTCGAATTTCCTGAAGCCTTTCTTCAGCCTTCTTCCCCCGTGTTGTGCGGAGTAGCTGCCGCACCAAGTCGATCTCGGCCCAATGCACTTGTACTCCATCGCGCAATGTCGCCGAGGGCACATAAAAGTCGATCCCACTCAGCACGCCTGAGGTGTCGTCTGGATTCGCAGGACCCCCGAGTGCGGCCTAGGGGCCTAGCGACCTATCAATACAATTACTATGGGGGTAAGGGTGGGCGGGGGAAAATTGAATAATCGCATCCTAGACACCGACGAATTGCAAAGCATACGGCGACTCAGCATCAGCTGACATGGCGCAGGTCGCCCAGACTAGACGTTTCTCACGCCTTTTCAGTATGCCTGCCACTGCCTCCCAAACCACAAGCTAGCTGAAACCAAAAACACATCTTTGAGTTTGATTCACGCCTCACACAAGATGCGTGTCTACATGCATCCTTCCCCTCCTAACCCCCCCCCCCCAATCACTCACACAATTGCCTTGACCGATTCCAGGCGGCAAATAGTTGCTAATAGCTGCGAATAGTTGCCCACATGCAGAGATGCTCATAGCCGCTAATAGCACTCAAATAGCGTCTAATAGCTCTTACAAAAGAAACTACCTATATCCCATTTCCTTTGGGTTTGGGGGGGGGTGCTGCTGGGGGGGGGAGCTAGCGAGCCTATGATAAGTCCCAACACCATCAACCCAAGGTATTCCTGAGATGGGGGGTCAAAGGTTTGGGGACTTAGGCCTCCGAAGGGATCTTGCAAGGAGTTGCAGGACGTGAAGATGGAGTGCCGTCGCAAGGCCGAAGACTACAAGCATCTTGGCTTAAGAAGCAGGTGTTGACCCCAAACCCTAAAGCCCAAAGCCTAAAGCCTGAACCCTAAACCCTAAACTCTGGGGCTCGGTGGGTTTGGGAATTCCGGGCTTAGGAGCCCGGACTCGCGAAGCTCTCAAGGAAGCCGCTCATCGTCGACCTCCCAAAGCCCCGCACAATACTCCTCCCAGCTGAAGGTCACAGCCAAACCCAAAACCCTAAACCCTAAACCCTAAGCCCGAAACCCTAAACCCTAAACCCGAAACCCTAAACCCCCCAAAACTGAGGATGGAGAAGAAGGGGCTCGCAGAGGAGCTGGAGGCTCTCGGGGCTGCCAAGGCCAGCGATCACCGCAGGGTCTTGTGTGATGTTTTTGGTGGTTTTAGGGTTTAGGGTTTAGGGTGTTCCCGAAGAGGTGGTTCAGGGTTTCAGGTGTCTTGAAGGAAGCCCGAATGATATCCTACACTGAGACTCAGGGTTTAGGGTTTCAGAGTTTCTCAGGCTTCTGATAGTTGACGCTGGGGGGGCTGAGGCTTTCCTGCGCGAGATGTTGCGTTTCATTGCTTCTCGCAGCGAAGCTGGTGCAGACAAACGAAGAAGCTGTAGGCTCCAGGTCCTAGGCTCCCAGACTCTATATTCTACACGCCATATCAGTACCTAAACCCTAAACCCTAAACCCGAAACCCTGAACCCTAAACATCTGAAGGGTAGTTGCAGCCCTTCAGTGCTGACTTCGGACGGCAAGGCCGCGCTGGCAGAGAAAACTGGCGGCGCCGTGGCTGCTTCCTTCTTGCAGGCGGTTGGCAGTGGGGGAAGTGGTTTTCGGCCCCCCTTCGCGAACTCGAGGCTTTCCTAAAGCTTTCCTGGCTATGCTTTGCAGATACAAATATAGCAGGAGCTTGAAGGTTCTTCATAAAAGAACAGCTGCTGGAAGCCTCCGCACTGTAGTTGCTTAGGTAACACATAGCACCGCTCGTGCCAAGCGTTGAGATGAAATGAGATGTCGTGCCTGCATCTTTGGATGCACAAACCTCCCCCGGGCCTTGCAGCTGTGGTAGCTAAATCGAGATTTAGGAAGCTCCCTCGTGCCAAACATGGAGCGGAGCTGAAACGACCTCCGCCAACAGCCCCTCGATCCCTCATAGTCGCCCAAATAATGCCAAGGATGACTTGAGACATGCCAGGTCGCCAGCTCGTCGAGGTCTGGTTTCGGCCCAAGACCGCGCGACCCTCCTCGCATGTTTCATGAGAGAGGTAGATCTAGAGTAGCATGGCTTTGACAAAGACGCAGAAACCTTACTTCCCAACACCGTAAAGCCTAGTTGCGCGCTTGTGGCTTTTTGCTCTCTTCAAGTTCTTCACAGTATGATAGTCATGGACTCCCCAAGGTGGGGACGACAGCATCCTGGGAATTCTCCGTGGGGTTGCGCGCAGGCCTGGATCAGGGGGGGAGAGGGAGAGAGCCACACCGGTGGGGCATGAAATTTGCAGTAATCCTACACTTGCCTCACCGAGAAGCTGCACTTTGAAAGTTGCCCATGCACACTGGGGGCAACAGCATGGCGAGCAAGACTTGGGACCATCGCGCACCTTCAGCGGAGGACGAACTCCAGCAGCGTGGCACTGCTGGCGCGGCGCGTCCGGACAATCATGCGCAGGGCAGCCTGGGTCATACTGACAGTAGGATCAGTAGGTTTAGGGTTGAGGGTTGAGGATTTGGAGTTTAGAAGGCCTTGCTGGATTTGGGGCTTTTGTTTTACTTGTAGGATTCGGTCTTGAAGGTTTTAGGGTTCTTGGTGCTGTGAGGAGAAGTTTCCTGTGCCTGCTTCGGCAGGATTAGGCTCAAAAGGCACAACTACAACGTGCCACGGGATGGAGATCCGCCTAAGATTCACTTTCTCGAGTTCATTGACGAGCCAGACGAGTCAGATGAACCGCTTCCGCCCAGATCAGCGAGTGAGCCCCTGAGCTTCCGGCCCACGCATGTGCAACGGCCGCCATCACTTGCTGTACCTCCTGCACCTGCGCGCAGGCTTGCAGATGCTGAAATGCCTCCAGAGCCTGAAGAGCCTCCTCCTGTCAGTAATGCGGCAACAATCGCCGGGATGCAGGAGCTATGGCCTTCTTTGGGCAGCGCTGGTCATCCAGAACTGTGCTACCGCAGGTGCCTACACTTTGCGAGGGGCGTGTGCTCCCATGGCTCAGGGTGCCACTTCTGCCACGTAACGACGCACCCCCCAGATCGCAAGATGCAGAGGTCGGATCGCGAGCTGCTCCATGGCCTGTCGCTGCCAGACCTTTTACGGGTTACCTGGAGAGTGCTTGCGTGGCGTATCCAGGCGAGACGCGCACAGGCAGAACCCATCTTCGAGGTGCTCGCTCTGGAGCTGCAAGATGCCCAAAGGGCCCAAAGCCAGGGTCCCATGGGTCCCATGGGTCCCGCAGGGCGCCGTCCGACGGACCAGGAACTTCAAGCTCTTCAGTGGTCTCTAAGTCGCTCATCGATGAATTTCGCTTCGTTGATAACTTTCATTTCGTCGCGATGCCGTCCTGCGAGCAGAGATCAACTGCTGGCCCTCCTGGCACAAATGACACAGGAAGCCCGTCCATGAATTTCCCTGCTCATCAGATCCTGATCGGAAGATTAAGCACACGCTGATGCATGTGTCTCCTTGTACTTTTTTGAATGAATCTTGGCACGCAATCAATGCTAGTAGGCAGTGACAATCTGCCACGATTACCTGGTCAATTACCACGGTAATCACGTTACAGAGATGTCTGTATACTTGACATCGCAACACATGTCAAATCGCTTGATCTGTAGCACTGTAGCTGTTCGCGTTTCTAACTAGTTTCACCGATTGGTCCACAGTACGTTGCGCCCATGGCGCAACATTGGGCGTTTGTCCATAAGGTCGGTAGGCGCCCTGCGCCTCAATACCCCTGGCCGACCCTCGCACCTCGCGAAAAAAGTGCCATACGACTCTGAGAGGTAACTTTTGGTAACTCCCCAGCTCCGGAGAGCATCCCTGAAGTCAGACATGAGAAGCTCCAGACCCTTAGGTCCTCAGTGAAGCTCAGCTTACCTAGAGTCCTAGAGGCTCTGACCTGACGTCGAGCGCCGACGCCTTTGGCAAGATCAAGACCATGATAGCGGACCTTTGGTCTTGGGAAGCCTTCAAGCCTTTTGCATTCTTCGACAAAGCAGAAGATTATCGACTTGGCAGCTCGAGGGCTCGAAAGATGTTACGGATGTGCAATCTTACGAAGAGAGGACATGATCAACAGCATGGAGAAGAAACTCCGTGAGGAAGCTGGCAAGAAGGTGCGGCAAACTTTGCAGAACTTTCAAGCGTCTCAAGCTATGTACTACGCATGTGTTACGCAACACATGGAACCGAGTTTGAAACGAGGCCCCTTTTTTCTCCCGAGCAAAGTAGGCTGAGAGGCCTTGGATGCGTTCTTTCACTCCGCAAGCCCACGCTTCGGCATCCTTCTTTTCTTTGCACTTTGAGCTTCCGGCGTTCTTGGCGACAGTAACACGTAAAGCTGTCTTTTGGCACTTTCAAGTATTCTGCGCCTGCACTTGCGAAGGGAGTGGCCAGTCTCGTACACGACCAGGCTTATTGCGACTCGGAGATGAAGAAGGCGGCCGAGTGGTCGAAGTCTTCCACCCCTCTGCCGTCTGTCGGCTCCCAAACATTCCTGGTCAAAATCGCTAGATCTATAGTGCATCCAAGCACCTATAGAGTACTCGGAGCCCTAGGCACAGCCCCTTAATCAATTCGCTTCCAAAAGCCCTACCTTCCTCTGTCCCTAACTCAGAACCCACACCTCAATTCCACCTACCATGACGACAAGTCAGGCATCCTAGACGAGATATGCAACTGGATGAGGCTTGTCAGCCTTCTCCTCACACTTGCCGGTGATGATGGCGATGATGACGATGATGACGATGATGATGATGATGGTTCGGTCGATGCCGTTGGGACCGTTAAGGAGCTGAAAGGGCAAGCTCAGAGGGTCAGAGCACAGCAAGATCCCAGTAATCGTCATGCCCCCGGGATCCCCAGGGTCTTATGCGACCAACAGCCAGGTTGATGTGTGGACCTGCAAGAAGAACCCTACAACCCTCACGTTCCTACACGTTCCTACGCGTTCCTACACGTTCCTACACGTTCCTACACGTTCCTGCGCGTTCCTACACGTTCCTACACGTTCCTACGCGTTCCTACGCGTTCCTACACGTTCCTACACGTTCCTACACGTTCCTACACGTTCCTAGAATGACAAGACATTCTGCTCCTCATCTCCAGCAGGCCGCGTCCAAGCAAGAGGGCAAGCAGTCTGAACTCGAAGATCTGCAGACAAAGCCCTTGGGCTGCAGTGCGAGATGCAGGCTTGAGGGGTCTTGGCATGGAAGGTTTGCGGGCTCCGAGGCTGCAGGAAAGAGCCTCGGGCTAGGTTTGGGTTGAGGGTTACAGCAGCCTTGAACCCCCGAGCACCTTAAACAAAGAGATGAAGGCCACCGCTCGGAAAAAAACATGGGATGATTCTGCAGCCCCCTGTCAGTTGAGCTTCCGAAGCACACACCCCCCAGCTACCGCGGTGGGCCCCCAACCCCTCCTGATGTGAGCGGAAGATCATACTGTGCCTATTGAACATACACACTAGTGCGGTCGCAAGTGTGGTTCTACAAACATGAGAAAGTCCTCAGAAATGTTGATCCCTTTTGCGGTTCCATTTGCAAAAATGTTTTCAGTACCCAAACAGAGACTGGGACCACAGTTGTTTAGAGAGTTAGAACAGATCATACCTCAGTACACCCGCTAATATTCAAGTGGCTAAGGATCGATGCAGCTACTTCGAAGTCGGCTGCGCTCAAGGCAGATAGCCTGGACGACCCCGTACACTCAAGCCGCCATCTCCAAACCCAAAGCTTGCACTCTACAACCCTGGAGCCCTTAAAGCATTCAAACCCGTAGGCAGCGCCTCCCCCCCCCCAACCTTCAACCCCTAAACCCCACCCTAAAGCCCCACAGGAAGAGGTCGTTGACCTCCAGAAGGCGCTAGCAACCATCGGGGAGTTCCAGGTTCCGGAGCAAGTTTTGCTTGCTAGAACCTCTCTTGGGTTCAGGGCTTCTCAGTTTTTCGACCGACTGCTTTACAGCTGTGTGTGTGTAGATGTGATGCAAGTGACAGTTCCCATCATGGGGCTGATCGCGGGTGGGAGAAGCATGCTGACAGCGCGCGGAGTCTTGCCAACGTCGCCATATTGGACATGCCAGTTTGATGGTCCCCCTGTCGGTTCCCTTCATACTCGACACCCCTTAGAAGTAGGACCCCTCCCCCACTCCCCCACCTCGGTTGAGATGCAAAGTTGGGACGTCTGGCCCATGCCCATGTTCTGTGCCAGGTGAATGCAACCAACATGAGGCAGAAGGAGAAGGCACAGCTCCAGCCTGAGCCGAGGATCTTGAGGTACCTTCAAGTCTAAAGCCCGTATGATGTAGAGAAAGACATCATCATCATCATCATCATCATCATCATCATAATCATCATCATATCATCCGAGGTCCAACCGGCTGTACTCGGAGCTTCATCATGGTGTCCTGTCGCTGTTGTTATCGATTTGATACTTAGTTCTGCTTTTCCAGCGCTTATCGACGACCCAACCTGCTTCATGTGGTGACCTTGGCCAGGTCTTTTTGAGAGCAACAGCCCTACTCGTTACTAGTTGAGCTTCGTACGGTTTCCTTGATTGAAATCAGTTTGGAGGCTTGTTTAACACAACATGTCGGCACAGCCGTATCCCGAGATTCCTCAACCTCCTCGAAGAGACGTTCAGCACCCGAGCTGAGGTTCGCAAAGACCATGCCGGAGGTGCAGGCCACATAGATACATGCTGCTTTTGGTCAGTTCTGGTCTTAAGTCCGTGAAAAACCAGAAGCCAGTATGTATGAAGTCTGGACCCA